GGTAAAAAAAATACTTCTTGAATCTTAAAATAACATTCTGATCCACCAATGTTTCAATGCTAACATTTGTCATTAACAACAGTAAATCTACAAGGTTTCAGCCAATCCATTCTCTAACATCTGTTAGTTATAAATATGAAAAAAAAAAAAAAAAAAAAAAAAAGCATGTCCATCACTGGAAGAGCTCTTAATTTTTTTTTTTTTTTTTTTAAATAAACAAAAATTTACATTACATAAAATCTCTGGTTTATACAGAATTTTCACCAATTCTAATGCAGTTATGTCATTGACAATTGACTTCAGTGAACAGAAAATTATTTTATCTATGAACTATTTTGTGCATTTCTTGCAATTCTCATGGTGCCAGCATTTTCATTTCTCTTGTTGTGCTGTGTATCAGTTTCTTGTTGCAGACATTCTTTAATTTACATTATCATATTTTCTCTTCTTGGATTAGATTCTACTTTTGTTTCACTTAAAATCCTTTCAGGTAAACATTCTCTCATAGCAGCTATTTTGCATTAGCTTCTTCCCCAGTTTCATTTTGTCTTCTTTGTAATGCTCTCTCTTGCAGGTCTGCTCTCCTCCTATTATCCTCTTCTGTCTCATTAGTTCACCGCTGAGCCTTGTGTTACCTAGCTCGTGCTATTATGGCATCACTTAATTAATATGAAGACGTGTAATTACACTTACAATATTAATGCTAAATTTATCTTTTAATTAAAATGTAATAGTTATTTCATTATATATTTAGAGAATAAAAGCGTGTTCGATCTAGGATACTATAATTCACGGATAAAATATTTAATGACTGATGCATTTTTGCAGCAACATTAATAAAAACCACAATATACTTTTTTGAAAGCAATTGTTACTTGTAAATAAATGTTTATTATTACTGCTGGCATTTCAGTCTGATTTATTAGGTCTTCAGATGGGGTAGGAAATATATAAATATACATATCTTTATATTATCTAACACTACCAAGAAAATATTATCTCCCTTTATGAAGAAAATATAAAATTATCTCCCCTTGGGACAGAAAATATGTAAATAAATACACATTGATAATTATATGGTTTGATAAATGATGATTGGGAAAACTGTGCATTTACCCAGAAATTGAAATTGTCAGCATTTTTAATTGTATATAAAGTTAGCACTATAAAGCAGAATAATAAAATTGTCTGCTAGGATATGTTTTCATATAAGTACTAGTGGAATATCCTCACAGAAATGTACTAGTGCAGCCATCTGATATTGTATCAGCTGCCAGAAACCATTTGGAAGAAAACAGAAGTTACTGGGAGACACATGATAAACTGGAATGAGAATTTAGTTTTAAAGAGATTTTTCAATAATCATTACTTATTAAAGCTTGTATATCTATAGCACTTTAAGTATATTTTCTAATTTTTATATATATATATATATATATATATATATATATATATATATATATATATATACACACTGAAGATCAAGTCAAACTAAACACTTCAAATACCTTGGTGGTATATGGATATGTTAATAAATTTAATATAGAAGATAAGGAATAAATTTAAGTTACTATAACAAATACAATATTTATTTTCTTTTTAGACCCTGCTACAATAAAATAGGGAAAATTTGATTTTTTTTGTCAAACTTGATTGATTTTGTGAAAGACTGAAAATACCTCACAATTTATAGCTAATTTACTTTCAAGGTGTCTTTGGCTTTTATTGATGGATTTGTTTTCTATGGCTTATCAATCTTTTGCAGGATTTTTTAAGCCAGAAAATATTTTTAGATTGTAAGAATTTTTTTGAGATAATTTAGTGATACAAGTCTTACTAATTAACTCATAGCTGGGAGACAAGAGGTGGATTTATTTTCCCAAATGTGTTTGCACATAAGTGAATATAACAAACCCAACTGTAATTGAAACTTGGCTCTCTGCTTAACGATTCCAAGCCATTATCCATTATACCACCTGCACTTCCAAGCTTACAGCACCTGGTATTTTCAAGTGATTACCCATCTAGATACTGGTGAACATATAGAAACTAGTATTTCAACATGATATGGCTATAAGCAAAGGTTTCTTTGAGAAAAATAGCAAGATTAACAGGGATTAAACTTCATTCTTATCCTACAACTATATTAGAAAATGATCACATATAAACTTATTGAAAACCAAGTAAAGATGATATTTTTCAAATACATTATGGACAGAACTGATAACTGAAGTGTAAGCAACCTAAATTGCTTGTAATAAAATAAACTTGGAGGAAAATTCCTTTTGAATCAAGATCAAGTATCATTTTTCTATCAGTTTAGTAAAGTCTATAATATTCTCAATAAAACAATACTGTACTGAAGGCAACTTATTTCCCTCAGTACCATAGTTAGCATTTCCCTATACCACATTCACTTATTTTCAAATAGATTATTCAATGTTAACCTTATACAAGAAGAGAGCCTAATATTTTTAAACTGGAGATAATTGGAGTCTATTAACTATAAGACCAAAAAAAAATTCAGTAATTAGCAAAATTTAAAAACGTTTTGAAAACTTTCATATTTTCAAAAGTGAAAAAAAAAAAAAAAAAAAAAAAAACAATTTTGGAAATCTTAGATTATCATAGGTTTCCAACGAATCAATTAAAAATTAAAATAATCTAACTAGAAAATAAAAATCATTTCTCTGTCCTAATGCATCCGTTTTGAAAAGAAATATTTGTATTATAGATTTGTTCAGTTCAGCAGTATAACTGGAATTGTTACCTTTTTAAGTAAAAACATGCATTCAAGCAATAAACCAACATTGCCAATATTTGGCAATAACCATAGAAACCTTCAGAGATAGAATAAGAATACTAATAACAATTAAACAGCAATCACTAAAAAATAAAAATACTAACGGTAGAAATAAGATATGAAGTGTTTTTACTGCCCCAAAAATTATCAGGACTCAAAACGAAAATAAATAAATAAATCGGAAAAGTGTAAAACACTAAAACAGCTGATAAATTCTTGAAGTAGATTGACACGTCTTTTTAACTTTTTCTCCTTGCTACTAACCTATCAACATTCAACCAAAGTAAATTAACTATTTGCACAAAACAAATTACTATATAAATTACTTATTACCCTCAATAATTGTGTTAAGGGTTAGAGACTAAATATCACTGAAAATAAAATTGTTTATTAGTTGTTAGGTTGTAAATGTAATAGTAGTTAATCTAGTAACTAGCACCTTCCTTCAATATTTACCATCATGTTATAAATAAACATAAGTAAATATAAAGGACAAAATAGATATTAAAAATAATGGTAACATTTTTTCATTAGTTAAAAAAAAAAAAAAAAAAAGAGCTCCACGAAACTAAAAAAAAAAAAAAAAAAAAAAAATTAGACATTTTGTTACGGATGGTCAGGGACGCTAAAATTTGGGTTAAGGTTAAGTCAGCTTTTGTGAACAATTCTGGAGTGTCATTCACTTCTTGCTATGGCTCTTAGCCTTATAAACACTTTGTAAAAATAAATAAACAAACTTGTGAGAGAAAATACACCTGGTTTTGAGAGCATATAAAAGAAAAACGTTTTTTTTTTTAAATATCTCAACTAATTTAAATATTTTTGGTAATTTACAACAAAATAAAATCAGGTTTCCGATTGTTTCCAAAATGTGTTTTTCTAATCATTTTCGAGATTTAAAATAAACTAAAGAACAAATTTAAACAAAGCAAAACAAAAATCAAATATTCGGCCTTCCCTTATTTATTCGTTCTCCTGGTCCCCCATAGTATGAAAACGTGGATCGCTCATTCTCTTCCTTATGAGCAGCTTTTAAATGCTGTAGTGTTAACTGATGATAGCAGTAGTAGCAGTATCAATTATTTATATGACATAAAAACTGACAAACAGGTGATAAGGTTAAAAATAAAATGTAAATTTGCAAAGAAATGGAGTTTAGGATTTAAAAATGGATGAGTGTACTGTAAAAATAAAACTATTTATGGCGAACAACAAATGTGTTTTTATTTTTAAGTTGATTAAAAACAGAAAAACACACGTACACACTGACTGAAGAAGTGTTTACCCCCTTCTCAATCATCCAGGAATTTTCATCCAAATATGAATTCAATTTTAAACAGGTCCCTTAGTTTATTTATCACGTTCAAATTTGTACATAATGATAAGTGATTCCTTGGTTTTTAGTAAATTAAGTGTGCGTTTCTTTTTAAAATGTGTTTTAATCGCCAAACGGTAAAAGAAAGATAACATGATGTTTATTTTAAGGACTAGAGAGCATAAAATCACCGTTTTAGAAATTTGTCAAAATTATCAATAGGCTTCTCACAATTTACATGAAGACAAAGATTGTACGTAAAAATATTTTAGATGTAAACTTCATAAGTCTAGGCACTATAATCTTAATCTTACTTATCTTGTTAAAAGTTACGTTAAGTTTCATTTTTATGCTTACTAAAATCGTTTGTTTTGTAAAATCCAATTTTAAAGCTTTTAAAACCATTTAATAATATTTTTTTTGACAACGATGAATACTATGAATACAAATAAAATAAAATTGTTCTGATACCGGCAAAGTCAAATAAAACTAAAATACGAATTGAAGGTTCAAGTTAATTATCGCTAAATCAGCCACCCAGACAAACAATATCGGTTAAGTTGGACACAACCTTGAAGAAGAGAGTAAATATAAAATTAAGATAACAAACAAAACCCCACTTAGCCAGTAAAAATATGAAAAAAAAAAATCAAGTTTACAAATGAAAATAAAAAAAAATGAATCAATCTTTAAATTCATTGATGCTAGTGATCAATTATTTTGTTTTTAAAAGCAAACGACGCTTTTCATTTAAAAAAAAAAAATTGCTAGAAATAAATTTCAATTATCTTTAAGAAAAAAAAAAAAAAAAAGAAGCAAAGTAGCTTTTTAAAGTATGAAAAGAAATTAAAAACTCATATAGATAAATAAATAAATACTTACATCTATCTCCCGTTGTAATTTTCTCTTTAGAGTTCCCTGGTTAAACATCATTTTTGACAGGTTTGTAGTTGGGAGAAAAGCGTTCAACTCTTGTTAAAGATTCATGAAGGAGAAGATTGAAAAAAAAAAAAAAAAATTATCATATAAAAAAATAAAGAGCTGTATAGTTTTTCGATGTAGAAAATTTTTACTATTTCCCCCTTCTTTTCAAGAGACAGCTTAAAAAAAAAAAAAAAAGACTAAAAAAATTTGTTATACTTTTTTGTTCCAGAAAAATAGTTGATTTTTTTTCTGTGATCAGAAATTAAAGTTTTAAAACATTTAGGTGCAGCATTTTGGTTTTCTTCCCTCGTCTTTGTTACTGTTTGTTTAGTTTACAACATTTTCTAATTAATAACTGCTAATTAGCTGATAAATAACGAAATTTTTAAAACAAAATATATTTTTACCAATTTTTTCTACTAAAAGAAAGATTAAAAATAGTCTAACGATGATTTTGTTTTTTTGTTTAGACTTGATAGTGAAGTGATGCTTAGTTCTTTTTGAAAATAAAAAGGAATTTGGAAAATTGAGAAGACTTGAGTAAGGCACCAACAATACGGTATAAGGTGCATTAACTGAAACAAATTCGGGAAAGCTTTTTGATTTTGTCGTTGATTTTCTTTTAAATCAACTTTTCCAAAATCATTATTTTTACAAGTAAAGTTCTTTTGTCTGCTGTAAATAAATTCAGATCTCTTCTCCTCTTCCCTCCTTGGGGAAAAGAGGAGAGAGATTTTTAATTGAACACTTTCTTTTTAACTTTTTTTTTTACAGTTCGGGTTCACAAATCCTACTTTCAGTTGAGAAATGTGGACGGAGTTTTTTTTACAGATATTTTTCTTCTTCTTGGTTATCTAGACAGAGGCAAGTCCTTTCCAAATATAAATCCTATGTTCATAATAATATAATTTTCTTTTGATGAACATTTTGAATTAGGCTCAAGTCTTAAAAATCTTGCCTGACTCAAACTCCTAAAAATGAAAATCCACGGATCAAGTCAAACTTTTTGAAAGGCTCAAGCGAAAATAGCAAAAAATACGGTCTCAATTCAACGTGTCTATAGCCTGCTCCCAATGATTCAAAACAGATTTTAAGCAAAAGCAATACTTCCAAGAGCCATTGGGAGAAGAATTAATCATTTAGCAGAGCCAAATTAACTCGTGGATGGCAATCTTGTTGGTGTTGATATTTTCGTGTCCCACTTCTGGGATTGAGACCGGCTAGTATCAGCAGCAGCAAACCCACTTTCCGGCATGTCGTAAAACATACCAGTAATTAAAGTAACGAAAAAGCAAAGAAGCATTTGGGCAAATTATACTATAAATATAAATACATAAAGTGTGTAGTCTATTCTGAATTTCTAAAAATTAATGTTTTCACTAAACCTTGACTTAAAATTGAATTTGAAAGGCTTAAGTAACATATTCTAAAGCGGAAGTGGTGTCGGTTTCCAACCATCACAATGGCTACGTGTTGTAGATTGTTGTTGCAGTGTGATTGGCAAGTAGCACTTAGGTAGGCCGACTTTCTTTTTTTTAGTCTTTTGTTTAGACCTTAGAGATTTGTGTTTAGATCGAACCGAACTAGTAGTGACATGTTCAAAGGCTTATCTGTTATGGGCAAAGAGTTAATATTACTAATTTTAGAGAAAGTCGAAAAAAAAAGGACTGAAAGTGAAAGATGGACAATAAACACAACAACGCAATAGTTATTGATTCATTTTTTTTATTATTATTGTAGCGATTTACTAAGCTTAGCTATGACACAAGACGGTAAGAATTTGTATTGTATTTATTCTCTTTTTCTATGTGTAATCTACAAGAATAGGTGATAAGTTAAAATTTGAAGAGTTATCTTGTGTAGGCTAACGTCCCAAATAGTTGAGATAACAAACACCGTTACTAATAAAAAAAAAAAGAAAATGTAATTTTTTTAATCCAAAGATTTAATAAATGTAAGCACTTATCACGTATATGTACATTTATTAAGCCAGTACTGTTTTTTTTAAATGTTGTATGAAAAAAATTAGTTTTTATTTGTATTATTTGATCTCTATTATGTTGTTGTGACATACCACGTGCTCTCATAACGGTGATAAACAACTGACAATTTTGAACGCTATCTTCATTTTGAAGTCCAGCGAAGAATTTTCTGTTGAATTAATTAATTGGAAGTAGATATTTTTTTTAATTAAATTGTCTGTATTTTAGTTGGGCTTACCATAATTAACAAGCCTAAAAACGGGACAGTTTTCTAATTTTATTATAGTTTTAGTTTTCTTGTATAATAAAGAAACTAAAAGTGTTTTCATCAAACACACACACACACACACACACACAGAAAGCTTTCTGTTTGGCTAGCACAAAAACATAGCTTTATTTTATTACCAAGACAGATCCGACCAAACCAGGACATAAGTGAATTTACTTTTATTATTTTTGTCGAAATAATTAAAAAACAAAAAAGTATTTGTCAGATTTAGAAAATTTGACCTTTTTTTTTTTTTTTTTGACATTCATTTTTACACTTTGACTTAATGTAAAAAAAAAAAAAAATTGTTGCATGGCTCATGAATTTGGAATCTTGAACATTTTTATTTACGATTATCCCCATTTTTCCTAAAAACAATTGAGTACTTCATTATTAACACGAATTTATTATGTTTCTAGAAAAAAAAATTGCCATTCATTCCAGTGTTAATTTAATGCATTTTGTTTATTAGAGCATTAAAAAGTATTCTGTTTTATTTGCTTTCCCTTTTTTTTTTAATCATTTCACCCCAAGTCAGGCGATAAATTCAGTGAGATGCAAGGGGTTACTGATTGTGAAAGAAAGAAAGAAAGAATCTGAGAATAAAACTAACTAACATTATGTAAGGAAAGTGATACGTTTGATGTGTTGAATCTTCATTCAATTATAAACTGAAATCTTCTCTTAATACTAGAGAGAGAGAGTTTATTGGGGTTATTTTGAAAGAAAAAGTTCAATTGAGATTGACTTTCTTTTTACTTCATCGAGAGTCTTAGACGACTAATTGACAAAAAATGATTTTATGTTTGTCAAATATATCAAATTATAACCAGGTAAATGAGATAGGCTAAAAATTAATGTTTCAATTTAATGATGTAGACGCTAAAGATCGTTTGAAAATTTAATTTGATTTACTCCACCGTTTTATTTATAATCCTTAGGTTGCTTCAAACTCTGCATTGGAATAGTATAGTGAAAGAAAAAAATCCACATACACAAATCTTCTTAAAAGGGAGGTAGGTTCCATACCAATTTTTAAGGACTAGAAAATAGAGTAAATATTCTGAAATAAGAAACTAAAATCCACATGAATCAGCAAAAAAATACAAAAATATCGACAATTACCTGTATTTTTAAAACTGAAGATGGGAGTAATTTGAATCATCAATTAGTTTTCCCCACTTTGAACTTTGTCTGAAAGTGAGAAACACACACACATACATATTGTCCAATTGACACATCCATCTTTTGAACAGGAGTAGAGGTTTATCCCTTGTTTCTGGTTCCTTCTAAAGTCTTTTCCTTCTCAGTAGCCCCTTGTGTCTTAGTCGCATTATCATCTTGCTTGGAGTGAATTGATTTTTTTATATATATATATATATATATATATATATATAATCAGATTCCTACATTTTTTTTAAATCTCAAATTTTATGCAAGTTAAACACATAGAGGCTCCCAACCAAGTATAACAACTGATGCATTCTGATTGGTTGAAAAATATTAATTAGGTGTTGTCAACTATGTCCGAAGGTACCAACCCAAATTTTGACCTCTTGTTGACGCCACAAAATGTAAACATGTTCACGATCCACCCACATGACCAAGAGAACTAATAAAAATGAAACTTCGATGTGACTTGGTCAGTGGGCCCTTAAAATATTCAACTTGTTCACTTGACTTCATTGGAGATCGACTCAACAACAAAGGAGACAAACCATATTTTTCTTCAACACGACAACGAACCTTGTCAACCAATTCCAGGCTTAACTTTAATTACTAAAATTAACATAAATCTAGTTTGCAAAAGAACGCTCACTCCCACAAAATATTCTATTCCACAACAAGCATCTCTAGTAAAAGAGTAACAACTCTGTTAATCAGTGAGTCAAGAACAATACTCTTTTTTCTATTCAATACAAAAAAATAACTGCTTAATTTTCCCACAACAACAAATATACTTAACTACACCTTCTCATTTTCGTACAATCAGTTCAGCAACTTAAATTCTTTCAATATCACACACCAAAGAACTCTAAAGTGTTTTAACAACTTTAGCACAATATATTATGTATTTGTTGTGTTCATAAAAAATATTTATTGTTGAACAATTTGTTCTACTTGATTATTTCTCTTGTTGTTGTCTTTGTTACATTTGATATAGTAAAAATAGTAGAGGGTCAATTTTATTTGTATTTATAACCAATACAGATTGGCTAACCCACTATATATATTCAGATACTATTATAGTGGATACTTATTATTTGAAATAGATGCCACATTTTTAATTATTTATTAAACAATGGGTATTATGTCTATTGGCCTGTACATTTGAGAAATTTAAGTAAAGAAAATATGTCCTATGGCAGGGATCAAACTTGCATCCGCCCTTGTAGGAGAAACTATCATTTGATCGGGTATGCTTTACCATTTAGCTACAAAGGTTCATTTTACCCTATTTTAAGGAAAGCACCCCCCCCCTTCATTCAGATTATTTTTCTCAAGAGACCATACCTGCTCAGTTTCATATGCGAAATGTAAACAAAGCAATTTCTAAAGAATTACTGGATTTAATTTTAATCCAACATTTTTATTCAAACATTATTTTCATGTAATCATTTCATCTCAGGTGATTTGTGTTAGCATTTTATTTTTATTTGTATCAATTCCAAAGTCATCTATGTTATTTAGCTTAGATTCTCTTTAGAGATGTAGTGAATAGAGCTACAATTTGTAATGGACAAGGTTTCTGTTGGCCACCTGTTTATGGCAGGAAGAGTTACTACTTGTTACAGCTGAAGTGGAAAACGTTCAAAGTAAATGAATTTAGCATTTTCAGAATAAATAAATTTTAATATTTTCAAAAGAAAGTAATGACAGAAGAAAATCCAAACTTTGCAAGTGGAAAAAGAGTTGTTACTTTTAACTTGAATTTGCTAAAATAGCTGGTTTCCTCAGTGATGTGGACCCAAAGTTGGGACCATGGAAGGAAAACACAGAACACGGATTAGAGGTAAGAAAGATATATTAAACCAAAAGGTTACAAAGATAGTGTAAGTGTAAGCGGAGCTTACTATGTGCTAGTGTCCAATATTGGTAGTTGTACGCGGCTGATACTACGGTATTAGAATACTCTCTCTCTTTCCTCCTCTTCTCTTAGAGTGTTATATCGCATACTTTATATAGTCCTGGAAGAGTCCATGTTGTAGGTATGTAACGGTCTCACAACACTCAGACAGTTTTTCATTGAATGGTCAGCTTCTGCCCCCTAACTGTGGTTAAACAAAAGTGGAGAAAAAACCTGTTGTATGTTTCACATAGGCACGGTATTGCTCAGGGAGAAAAGTCTTGAATATGGTCATCTGAAGATATCATTTCAGTGAGAAAGACAAGGTCTGTTGGTTTCAATAGATAGGGTTCTTTATTCATGGATCCATTCACCTACCAGTCGGCGGTTAGCTAAGTGACATTTGAAACATCTTTACTGTCACATCTGTTTTCTCTCCTGACAGATTAACAGACCAGATCTCCTACCAACTGCCTGTCTCTACATCTCTTCTGACTCTACCCATGACTCTTTGAATGGCTCTTCTCTCTTCTCACTATAACCATGATTCTCACTCAGCTTGTTACTCTTTGGTCAGATGGCTCTTCTCACTCTACATGCGACTTCTTTGTCAGATGACTCTTCTCTTTGCTCACTGTAACCTCTGATCTAAAATGCAGCCTGATGATATAAACCCATGACTGGAATTAACTACTTTCCAGCAGAATGGCACTTGATCTTGAAAATTAGTTAAATGGCACTTAAGGTACTGGAATCTGGCTACCTTAGATTCTACACAGACTATGTGATTTTCAAAATGTGCCAAGAAATTCTAGAAGGCAAATTTATCCTTTGTAGCTCTACCACTAAAGGAGGATGCCCTCATCAAAGGTTTCAGGGAGGTGGTTGAGATGTGAGTTGGGATTTGAAGCCTTTGGTGAGTTCCTGACTTCAGAATCATCTTCAAACTGTCCAGCCATGTGTGATAGATCCTGGTATACAGATGTCCTAAACTCGAACATTGATTGAGTCTCTGATCTTGTTTCCTTCTAGCTTCCTGTAGTCTCAAACTGTAACTCTCTCCTAACTCGTCTAGGTGGCATAACCACCTTTTAATAATCTCTCTGTGTTCTATGAACACATCCTTTGTCAAGTTGTTCAAAGTTTTCAATCCCTCTATATTCTTATAAACCTTCAACTTAAATCTGGTTTGTTGCTG